TAGCCGAGACGAGCTTTCGCTTCGGTTACCAACCCCCACATTGTGTTCTTTTTTGTCCGATTGTGAGGTTCGTGATAGGAATGACTGCGTATTACGAACAAATGGAAATTTTAAATGTTCTTTTTCTTTTTATTTCTTTCATACTTTTCATTTTTTTTTTTGTTCCTATCTCTCCATTGAAAAGTACACTGGTTTTCGCATTATACCGTATAGGATAGCTCGTAAACGGGCTACCACCTACAATACGCCGGTGTGTATGCATTAACGATACAACAAGTAAAGAAAGTGTAGATATTCGTTTCGTTTCTCTGTAGAGAAACCTTTTATGAATCATGCTAACTCCCCGGGCAAGTTTTCCACCGCATTAACACGAATTCATTAAATTATAATATACATATGCATATATATCTGTTTTAGACATTGTTTGACGTTACCATTAAATCTCTGATTTTTCAGACGCACAGTTGAAACGATTATTTCCATGCAAAAACAGAGAGAAATGAGAAAGGGTGAAAGGGGGAGAAGAAGAGAGAGAGAGAAAAAGAGAGAGAGAGAGAGAGAGAGAGAGAGAGAGAAAGAGGTAAATTCATCGATGGTAACAATTTTCCGAATACATGCCGCGGGTGTTTCACCGAATACGATTATAAATCATATTTATAATTTATTCCACGCCTGATTCGTATACAAGGCTAGCTCTCTAATGAAAGAGCATTGCACCGTACATGATCGTTAATTAGAAGGCATTTTACAGGTAATCATTTCGTAATTAAGCGTATAATTAGCACGCACGTGCGCCAACGTCGACGTTCCCCGAATCCAACGAAGTATAGTTTTATAAAACACAGGCAGATATGTACGAGTATTACATATATATATCTATATATACATATATATACATCGAAGGTAGGATACCTAGCTGAAAGACATTAATACGAGACTCGTGTGCAAACGCGCGGTAAATAATTTCGCGTTGTCATTCGAAATATGCACGGACCGAAGTGAAGCTAGTTCGTTGGGACTTCAGGGAAGAGGAACAGAAGGGAAGAAAAGGGAAGGGAAGGGAAGGGCAGGACAGGGTAGGGTAGGGCTGGGGGACTAAAGGGGGTCGGGGTATGAGAACGAGTGGAAGGAATTCGTAACTTCGTGCATTTCAGCTGGCAACAGTGAGTCCGGCCACGATTAATTTCAGCAAATACGATGAGTTTTGGATTTTATGCTAGTGTATCGTCAAACGTAAAGCCCGGTTCTCTCGCGATTGGAGAAACTCGTTTATACGATCCCTACCGAACAATAATTCACGAGTAAGGTCTCTCTTGGTAAAACATATTTTTTCCTCGATCTGTGAAACATAGGAGGGAGGGTTGAGTAGGGGGACAGGTGCCGTTAGATAGGAACAATTCTTTATTTTAACGGCCTGTTTCCTGTACATTCACCAAATACGTATCTACGTACGTATACACATATATTATTTGAGAAACTTAAATCATACCTTCCTAAGCAATTTTCAATTTATCGTGAGATAAATGTAAAACAAATATGAACAAGAGTATTTCGCATTTTTTAATGAAAAAATATTTGAATATTTTATCTCGGTTGTGACTATTTGGAAAGTATTAACGTTTGGATTCGCGTTATTTCGTCAGTTTTACGATATGATAGGTAAGTATTGAAGAGACACACGCGAAAAGGGAAGTTCAATTGTGGTGAGAGTTGGTACGATAGTTTAACATCTTATGTAGAATTTTTCAATCTCTTTGCTAGCTCGGCCAAGTGAGGATAAGAGAGAAAGAGAAAGAAGGAAATAAAGAGGGAGAAAAAGAGAAAGAGAAAGAGAGTATAGTTCACGATAGCGGAAAATGAATGCCTTGGCGCATAAGTGTATTCTCGTGTAGTAAAGACGTGGGTATAAGTCACTCGGTCTCACGCGACTCTATGCTGAGACCTTACACGTCTTTTTCTTTCTTTATTTTTCCCTCTCTTTCTCTCTTTCTTTATAAAAGACCTACCTCGACCTCACCTATCTCGAATCTTTCAATTTCTCATACTTTTTTGCACCGTGCAGAAATCGAAACGTCGTACGAGACCACTTCGACCTTTGTCATTCTTGTAGAACAGTGTGTTGCACTTATGATCGTTACGGTTAATACTTAATACTTACATGCCAAATTATTTCGTATTAACGAATAATTCGTATTTGTGTCAAAATTTATTTTGATTTAATAATAAAATACGTATGTGAATATATTACGAGAAACTTAGTGTTGAACACGATTTATGTTAAATATTTTGCAACATTATTTACAAAAATTATTTCTATCTGAGATAACTTTATATTATGTTGGTTGTGAATGTGTTTATTTAAAAATTATTATCAATCTTCCGTTAGTATTTGATTTGAAAGATTATTAATATTTGAATAAGTCGACATTTTATCATCGATAAAACGATACATTTATTACCAGAGAAAGATATTATGGAAAAAAAAAATAATATAAAATTTGTGTAATATTTAATTTCAGATGACATAAGCGGATATCATCAATTTCATTATATATTATTATACATTTGCAAAAAAATAAAAGTGAGCTCATTGGGTAAAGGTAAATGGGTAGAAGGTAACGATAAATGCGGACATTGCACATGAAAATTCACGAACCGACAAAATTAAATTGCAACGAACGTATCCAATGTAAAATGTCAAAATTCGATTCAACAGCGATATGATCTCTCATTGATTATTTTTCAACTACAGTTATACATTATATTATACTGAAAACCAACGAACAACGTTACCGTCGATTGATTCTGTCAATTTGCTCGAAATCGAATCAAAAAATTGCGAACGTACTGTCTATATACTTCAACAAAAAAAAAAGAAAAAAGAAAAAATAATAAAAAGGAATGAAAGAGAAAAATTTCCGAAATCGAACAAATAGATTCGTCAAACATTTTTCTTTCTCATTTATTTTCTAGACGGTAGAAACATTATAAGAACAAAAATATCGTTCCTTTGACCACCGAAGTAAATGCTTGACCACCATACCTAATTGCCAGATCACGTGTAACGTAGGTCACACGGGTGTATAGGTAGAACTTTAAGGTCATTCTTAAGAACGATGGTGTAGTTACAACCCTATGAAGCATTACGAACCACCCCTCAGTACCAATTCAAGCATGACTCTTAACCTCAACCCCTCTCCGCCCCCCGCCCACTTCGTTTCCATGGTAACAATACTAAAATATAAGAAAACAATATGTCGTACTTTATATTATTTTCTTCTCTAGACGATCCACGTTTTAACGTTTTCACTGCCGCAAGGGATATAAATCATCGTACCTAGATACAATGTTTAAACGTCAAAAACACGAATCGAGATTACCGACGATCGATTTAACTCGAGCCATAGGGAATCCGATAAAAGAATTCTTTCCGAGTTCTCCACTTCTTTATCCTTTCAACTAAACGACAGCCGTTTTTAATCTTCTTTTGCTTTTTAAAGCGTCCGTCCTTAATGAAGAACATTAACCAATTAGCGACAGGATTTACTCTTCCTTCTTTTATTCTTTCTTTTTTCTATTTACGTTCTTTTTTTACATTTCCTTTTTTTATTTATTTATCATAATATTACGGATATACGTTTCCTTTCGCGAACTGGACTATATAAAAAAAAAAAAAGAAAAGAAAAAAAAGTTCACGAATCGTTTTATACATTTTTCTAAAGATTTATTACACGTTTCTTTTTTTTTTCTTTCTTGAATATTACATTTTGTAAAATATTTCCTTCTTACCATACGATTCGCCAGATTCTTAAAAAGCGCGTTCTCTCTTAACTTCAACGTTCTAAGCGTAAGAAAAAAAACGCGTCACATTAAGAGGAGTGAGGGTGAAAAAAAAAAAACATATGCGAATATTCGAAAAGTTGAAGGACGAGTAAACGTTGGGAAGAAGAACACCGAACGATGCATTTATTCATTCGGTATACAGGACAACATCACACTTCATCCTCCTATCCCTCAACCCGTGGCCCGTTCTTTAGATCGAAAACTTTTCGTATATTTTACGACAATGGAGTACGAAAAGACGGTGAATATTTATAGGTCACCTTCCACTCACCGATGAAGCCTTCTGTAATCTTTAACATCTCTCCCACTTCGCTTCATACATAAAATTATCGAGTCTCCGTTTTTTCTTTCTTTCTTTCTTTTTCTTTTTCTTTTTCTTTTTTTTCTTTTTTTTCAAAGTGAATAAAAGTATTATAGAAGAAACTTCGTGTAACGTTGGTAAGAGAAAGAAATTTCTCGAGGAAAAATGATGAAAAAAAAACGGGACAAATCTTTACGAATAAAAATGTACAATATATATTCGTATAAATGATTCTCTAAGTTTCTGAGATATTGATCAATTGATATCAAGAAAAATGATTAACGAGTATTTTTTCGATCGTGTTGAAATGATATCGAAAAAAAAGAAACAGGAAATTTGCGGACGATCACGTATGTGTCAGGTTTCTGTCAAGAACGTCTTCAGAACGTAAGAGTTTTGGATGATACTTTACTTCAGAACGATATCGTAAACACTTGTTCTTACCACGATGATACGTCGAGTATCATCAATTTCAGGAAAGGGGTTGTTTAGGTGTAGATAAGCGCTATGGATTCACTATCTTGTCATCAAATAAGATTAAACATCATCCGTCACACGTATCGTCAAACAGATAGGATATACATTGCTAGGTAAAAAAAAAAAAAGAAGAAAAAAAACTTATTACGGAGTAGGAAAAATGTTTGTCAAGAGTAACGGGTTGAAAAGAGTTGCAAATAGCACGATATATATAGAGAGAGAGAGAGAGGGGGATGAAAGAACGAAAGAGAAAAAGAGGAAGAGAGAAAGAAAGAAAGATAGCAGCGCGGGACGACCATCCCTTATGAAGGTTAGGTCGTGTCACCGGTAGATTACGCCGAGGGCAATCCATCTCTTTCTAGGTAAGTTTCGTACTCACCAGATAATCCAAAGTTATTTGTGAAAGAGAACGGGTCGGTCCAGTTGTGGCTGACTATTTCTTCAAGAGTATCAGAAATGATGACAAGAAGTTTCCAACGAGGTTGTCACTGATTACTATATCCTCCTTTCTCTTCCGGAAATTTTGTTTTTCTTTCTCAATAGATTAAATAAATATACACATGCATATATATATATATATACACGTAAAAAATAGAGATGTATTATTCGGAGTAAAAAAAAAATAAAATAATAATAATAAAAAAAAAAAAGAACCCAGAACACGTTCCCCCGCGTGAAGTATACACCGATATCACTATAAAGAAACGATCGTCGTCACTTGAACATCCCTCTCACACTATTGTCATTATTATTCTTCCATCCGAAGATAAAGATAAAATTTATAAATATATATATTTATATAAAAATAAAAAAAAAAGAGAAGAGGGAGGGGGAAAAACAAACGTAACAATCCGAACGAAGTCCACGGACACAGGAGAACGATACTTTTTCTTTCTTCTTACGCTCTTGAAATAAAGATAGAGAGATAGAGATAGATAGATAGATAGAGAAAGAGATAGAGAATTTCAATTTCAATCAAGCAAAGTTCTGACGACGAGGACTTATTGGTTTATTCACCGGGGCGTGTTTAACGGGGAAGAGTCGTCGGTAAACAACGCATGTTCCATAGTGTTGTGCGGTATCGTGCGGGTTGTTGCTGTGGATCCAGAGAAAGATGGATAAAGGAAGAGTGAGTGAGAGAAACAGAGAAAGAGATAGATAGATAGAAAGAGAGATAGCTATATTGCAGTATATAGTATAGAACGATACGAGTACACGCGGCGATGACACGAAAAGGGGTAAAACACTGTTTGCGAGGGTAAGTAGGGTGACGCGCACGACCCTGACCGATGCGCGGTTCGAGTGCGACTGAGCGAGCAGAGCCGAGCAGACTCGGCCGAAAGCCACAAACGGCGTCGGCTGCCGCCGATCCCTCCCTCCCACCCCCCCTTTCTACCCTTTCTCCTTCCCTCTCATCCTCATCCACCTCATCCACCTCATCCACCTCCTACTTTCTACCTTCCAAGTCTCCATCTCTCTTCTTATTCTTACCCCCCAAATCCCAGCCCCCCTCGCCCCTCTACACACAACTACGTCTATCTCTAAGGACTCTCTACCTGACCACAAATTCCCTCTGTTCTTATTTGCATTCCTTTCTTTTGTTGTTGTTGTTGTTCTCTGTTTTTGTTTTGCTTATTTTTTTTTCTCCCCACCCTCTTTATCTTACCCCCACCCCCACCTTTCTTCCTTCTTTGACTTTAACTCTCTTCCCCCGTCCCACCCCTTTTCTCACGTGCACGACACTTTTTGTCGTCGATGTTTTGTAGTTTCTTTCTATTTCTTTCTTCTATTATATACTTTTCTATTATACTTTATTCGTGTTACACTTTACTTTTTGTCTTCTGTTATACTTTTTATATCTTTTTTTTCTATTATACTTTCTACTTTTGTTGTTGTTGAATTGTAACGCGTATATCCATTTGTTTCGTAATATTATTGATTTGTTATTTTATTATTTTTCATCTCATCGAGATATTATTATTATTATTATTATTATTAATCATAGGCGTTGTATAATTGCATAAGTTTTTGGAATATCTTCGAATTCTCGTAAAATTCGTTCGTAAATTAATTAACAATATTTTATGCGTATTTTCGATCGTACGTTTTAGTAGAATCTACGATAAGCAATCTTGTTTCGGGAAAGTAATATACGATTGATAAAATTTTTATTTAACTTTTACCAATTCTATCATAGTTTCATGCACACACGAAAAATAGCACATTGATTGAAGTAAAATGATGATATCGGGGTAGTTTTATAGATAACCCGTACCACTGCTTCCGATTCCTTAAACCCCAAAATGGCCAACTAGATAAGGAATTTTACGACGGTCTGATGGACGACAATGTGCACCGGCAAAAAGAATCAAGGGGGATTTTTAGATTCCAAAGAGGAAACGATACCGCGATGTAGAATCTCATCGACTCACCTACATACACACATCTATGACTGTGTTGCTATACACTACCAATACTCTTCTCATACAAACGAACCTAGTCTACCTGCAAAATCGGCAAAGATAACACCATCTCCCACCCCCAACTCCAACCCCATCCCACCCCTCATCTACTGTAGTTGGCTCAGATGAAATTCGTGAAAAGGAGGTAGATACATATACATATTCTATACATGTAATATGTATACCTATATGTATATATTTAAATATGTATATATATGTATATATATATATATATATAAATGTATATAAATATGTATATATATATGTATATATATATATATATATATATATACGACTGTGGAATAGGAGAACAGAAGGAAAAGTAGAATGGAGAAGAACGTTACGACGGGAACAATGAAAAGTACGCTTCAGAAGAAAGTGGAAATTTTCCATTAGTGATATACATCGTGTCGTCAAGATACGTGACAAGCAAAAGGGATTGACGCCTAGGCGTTCGTGTTAACTTTTCGAATAACTCGAAGATGAAAATTTTCTATTAGGGAAATGAAAGAAAGAAAGAAAAAGAAAAGAAAAGAAAAGAAAAAAAAATATATAATACACGAAAAGAATAGCTAAAGAAAGCAAGATCGATAACCGGTAGGTCAATTAGATCTTTAGAAAAAGTCTCTCGAGATTAATATTACTAATGCGCCCATACTTTTTTTTCTCTTCTTTTGTGTTACTTTAATGGGTAGGGGATACGTAATAAAAAAATTAAAAAATTAAAAAAAAAACCCTCCCCCCCGTGAAATATATTGCTCGTTTATCCTACTTGATCTAACTACTTAGGATGATTTTACGTTACACACTTTTTCCAACGTAAAAAAAAGAAAAAATAGAAAAAAATGTAAAAGAAAAAATAGAAGAAGAAGAAGAAGAAGAAGAAGAAGAAGAACGTGTCGTCTTCACTTTTCACACGTATGTACTTGCACACAAGACCGATAATACATTCTCGAGAAATGTATTTTCGCATGCATCTCGTTGCACAACGTAGGATGATCGAATTGATATCGCACGACGTGTTGTGACGTGTCGTTTATCGCTTTTCACTCGCGCGTTTTCTGCCAACGTTGAAGGAAGATGCGTGAAAAAGGCTTTTCTCCGTTTCCTCTCTCTCTATCTCTCTCTCTCTATCTCTTTCTCTCTTTATCTGTATTTCTCTTTTTTTATCCAATATTCCTCCTCTCTGCATCAGTAGATTCTTTCCCTTACATCTTCTCCCTACCACAACACCACCCCCTTCCCCCATGTTATGTGGATAAATCTAATGCCGTTCTTATTTGCGTCGGGAGAATGAAACCGCGAAGTAGTAGATTCGCTTAAAGCTCGTAGAAACGAATCCAATGGGGTGGGATAGAAAAGGGTGATGGTTGTGGTGGGGGAGGGGTAGGGAAGGGGATATACTTTCTCAAAAATAAAATCCTCTTCGGTTTGCCGCGCACGTAAGCACCGAGTCCTTCCGTATTCGAGATTTGAGAAGTCATTTATTTATTTTGTTTTAATAATAATCTAATCGGATGAACAATCGAAACGAAAAAGGAAAAAAAAAAAGAATTACGCGGAACACCAATGAAAGAAATAATATTTTATTATTTTTTTCTTTTGAAATCTTAGCTTTTAAGGGTAATAACGGATAAATAATGTGATAATATTCTACGGTATGATTGATCGTGAATGTGATTTTGCGATTGGATTAATAAGAATGAAAGAAGAAGAAGAAAAAAAAGAAATACGAATGTCGTGATATTTTTATGATCGAAAGGATTATGTTTTAAATGTCAAAATGTGTAAATTGAAACGAATGGACGTGTGTGATAAACGTAATTTTATTCTTAACATATAATAGGAGATATATTTGAGACACGTCGTCAATTGATCGTTAAGAAACTGTCTCGATTAACGGAAGTGGTAAATGTAATAATATCAGAATGCTATTCACGTACTTCTTAAGAATCTACTTTGACCTTTCGGGGAATCAATCTCGATACAGTCGACGTACGGAATACCGATACGAGAGCTATCTCAACGCTTCTTCTTCTTCTTCTTCTTCTTCTTCTTCTTCTTCGAGCAATGTTCTGTCTCTCACCTTCTCTCTCTCTCTCTCTCTCTCTCTCTCTCTCTCTNGTCGACGTACGGAATACCGATACGAGAGCTATCTCAACGCTTCTTCTTCTTCTTCTTCTTCTTCTTCTTCTTCTTCGAGCAATGTTCTGTCTCTCTCTCTCTCTCTCTCTCTCTCTCTCTCTCTCTCTCTCTCTCTCTCTCTCTCTCTCATTTTCTCCCATCTTCTATTCGCATTCAATGAACTTCCTTTATTCGTCGAAAAGGTTAGTTTCATACCTTTGGAAGGATAGGATGTTCCTTTTGACGAGGCTTCTCGTTTCCCATCCAAAGTCTTCCCTCCCTCCCTCCCTCCCACTCCTCATACTCGTAATATCCTGCCAAGAAATCCGTGAGAATTCCATTACTACGGTTCTACTTCCGTATTTGCAATTAGAACCAGCGTAGGTAAGCGCGTACTCGTCTTAAGACAAATCTATCTTCCTTCTAACACGTACAGGGTGTTTCATTTGACACGTCTATTTCGAATATCTCATATTAAATCCTATTATCTGATATATATATATCACTAACTTTACATCTCATCAATGTTAATTTTCTTTCTTAAAACTATTATTACAATATACTCTTTATTTTTTCTTTTTTTTTTTTTTCTTATAGAAGAAATCGATGGCTTTGAAAATATAACAAAATTGCGAGTCTCGTGAAAAAAAAAACAAAAGGAAAATAGAAAAGACAGAAAAAAATATCTTATCACTTTCGTATTCTCTAATTAAAATCGAGTTGATTTAATGAAAAGAAAAATAAAGACAGAAAGAAAAAAAAAAAGGGAAGAAAAAAAATGTACGATACTCGATGAGATTTGATACTCGTGAAGATCCAATTAAACGAGGCACCCTGTATTACCGAGACTTCCTCTTAACGTTACAGACGATGAACTAATACTCTAGCAGACTCTCGAGGACCTTTTAATTACGAATTATGCGTGAGACATACGATTCCAGTGGAACGATCATCTCAGGATTTGACTGCGGTTTCCTTTCATCTTTGTACTAGATGGAATCGAATCGTCTGGAACCAATCAAAATTGTAATACATCTGCTACGTGGTCGAACTTATCTAAACGATATCAAGATATATATAAATTATAGTATCATGCGAGATGAATTAATTAACATTATTATTTAAATTAAACTATAATCTATATTCATAATTAAATTGATTAATTTTATATCAAATCTATATATAGTTATATATCTAACCAATGGGTAAACCTGATTAAGAGATTAATAAGAAATATTTTGACTATTGTGATCGCAAACACGATAAATCGATCTGCGTCAACGTCGATTAAGCTTACGTAAATGATATTAAGATATCGTTAAGCATTACGATTTGCTTGTTAATTAATATTCTATCCCTAACACTTAGTTATCAAAGTTTAGATGGAAACTCTTGAGTATACCACAAATTTCATTAGTTGTTGTTAATTACTGGAATCGTCCTTATAAAATACGAGTTGTCGTAATATTTGTCGTCATTTAATCAGTAAATATATATTCTTAAAATAATATAATATTTATTAAATAATTATTAAACGCGATTATTTTCTAGACAAATATTTATTACGATTGTGTAAGAATAATAAAAAGATGAAATATTTGATCATGTTCGTGATTACACACAACAGATGAGGGAGAGGAAGTCGAATTGAACGTGCAATCGATTTGTGTATATCAAATCTGGATTGAATGCAAGCCGAAGCTTATTTGGC